TACATGCATTGAGCTAATTATGCTGTGGAAATAACTAAATATGGTACTACTGTATGTAAGGATTGCATAACTGGTTGCACTGCCTGGTGGAGGTTTTTCTGTCCACATGCATTTATGCAAAGTCTGCGTAAATTCAATTAAGTAACTAAGTGGAGGCCTAATGGTTGCACATATGCATGCAGGAATTGCATAAATGGTCTGCACTACTGGTGGAGGCCTGCTGATGTAATAATTTATGTGTATGTACTTATATATATGTGGTAAAAATACTATTAAATACTAATTAATGACTAGCTATGGTATGGCTTTAACCTTTATATTGGATTATCTTCTAAACTAATAGAGATAGAGGTATGGTTGTAGTGAGTGACTATGGTTAAAATTGTATGCAGATTCTTATTATGCAATAATATATTCATATATGTAAGTGGTTTAGGTTGTAAGGTAGGGGTTTTGGCAGTTTTGTTGCGCACAACAGCCTGGACCACCACAGCGCTGTTAGTGCCACTACGCTACAGCGCTTTTAGCCGCAAAAACAGCCAAAAAACTGCTGAAATGTGCTGTAGTGCAGCGTAGTGGGCCCTTTTTTGTGGCCCACACGCGTAGCGTTAGCGCAGATTCATGTATCTGCGCTAACACTACACTACAATGTAGCGTATTTGCGCTACACTACCGTTAGTGTAGCTGGCCCAGCATTGTTTCACTGTCTACCCACTGTACCGCACCAGGCACCTCCCAGCGGGCACCGGTGGTACTTGTGGCAGGTACCGCAGGTACCTCCCCTCTCTTTTTCACTTACTTCCACTAGCTATCTCAACTTTACTTCATATCCTGTACTAGATATGTGGTAAAATGAAACTGTATGTGCTGTTCTTTTTTTTTACTTCTTCACACTATTTTAACAAAAAAAAGGAAACTATATTGCATATCCAGTACTGTTGAAAGTGTATATAGTTAATTTTTTCACTTTTTCCATATTTATTATAAAATATGCAGCCCTCCCACGCACCCTTTGTTAGGGATGTGGGGTGGTACCCGCG